AGTTTAGTGGTGCCAGGGATTAGGGGTGGGGAAAAGAGGTGAGTATGGCTGTATAAGGGTAGCACAAAAGGAATATTGTGGTGATGGTACAGTTAAATATCTTGGTTGTGGTGGTAGTCACATGAAGCTATACATTTCATAAAATAGCATAGAACTATACACATACTGTCACAAATATATACACGTATAACTGGTAAAATATGAATAAGCTCTGGTTTGTACCAATGTCTGTTTCCTGGTATTGATATTGTACTGTAGTTATTTAAGATGTTAATATTGGGGGAAGCTGAGCAAACGACCTTCCTGTACATTTTTTTGCAGCTACCTGTGAATTTACAATTACTGAAAAACAAAGTTTTAGAAAATATACTTCAACGAGAACTCCACCCTAAACCAGAGCAATTATTAAAGGCAGATATCCCAGATCAAGTCCCACTATCCAGTTATTACTATAGCAGCACAGTAGAGGACTCCCTCAAAGAAGGGTTCTTTCTGATCTACTCATGCTTGGAGAGGTATATTTTCATTTATAAGTAGTTCCTAATAAAGCCACTATCAGTTCTAAAAAAACCCATTCCTTAGCTATGCCATAGATCCCATGGCTAGCAATGGACTTGAATGTATGCATCCTCCATTTTCCTGTTGATTGGTATACTGGATATAAAACCTTAAGGCATCTTAACACAAAACACATGTACAGCCTTTTAAATATTCTACAGAATAGATTTTTCTATTTTAGTAGATGTAAATTGAATCATACTATATGTATTTAGAGTTCTAATTAAATAACAATCTTGTGTTTTATTAAGCATAGCAATAAATATAAGGTGAGACAGAGTTTACATGCTTTTCTGGTGAGCACATTGGTTTAACTGTAACTGTTTTCCCATAACTTCATTTGTTTAAATATAAACATTTCTTCAGTCTCATGTTCTTAAACATGAACATAGTAATAATAATGGTAATAATGATGGCTACCCCTTATTGAGTACTTCTTTGAGCCAGAAACTTGCTAAGCACTTTTTATATTTTATTTTCATTTAATCCTTGTGAGGATTAAAGGACCTTTGAGGTAGGTACTATTATATAGATGAGTAACATACCTGAAATAACACAGCTAGTAAGGGAAAGAACAGTTTGAACTCGGTCAGAGTCCCAAGCCTACACTTGTAACCATTATTCTGTACTTCCTTTTTATACCATACAATATAGGAATTCTGAAGTTAGAGGCTGATATTTTGGTGATTATTATATATCTAAGTTTTTTTTAATTCATAAGGCATATACATGAAATCTATTCTCTTACTGAGTTCAGTAAGATGAAGCCTTCCTTGATTTATGCAGGAGGACTTGTTTTCGTCTTTTTAATCTTCTCTCACTTATCCTTCCTTTTTCTTTTCTTTTTTTTTTTTTAATTAAATAAGCTCTATGCCCAGAGTGGGGCTTGAACTCACAATCCCAAGCTCAAGAGTTGAGTGCTCTACCAACTGAGCTAGCCAGGCGCTGCTCCTTTCTTTTTATAGAAACCATAGACAGTCCCTGACTTTGGATAGTTTGATGTAGGATTTTTCAGCTTTATAATGATACAGAAGTGATACCCATTCAATAGAAATTGTATGTCAAATTTTGATCTTATCCTGGGCTAATGATATGCAGTACTCTTGTCATGATGCTGGGCTCTGGCCATGAACCACAGCTCACAGTCAGCCATGTGATCACAAGAGTAAACAACCCATACACTTAAAATTATCCTGTACCCAAACAACCATTCTGTTACTGACTTTCAGTACAGTATTCAGTTAAATTATGCGAGATATTCAGCACTTTTATAAAGTAGGCTTTGTGTTAGATCATTTTGCCCAACTGTAGGCTAATGTGAGTGTTCTGAACATGTTTAAGGTAGACTGGCCTAAGCCATGATGTTGGATAGGTCATGTGTATTAAATGCATTTCAGCTTAAAATATTTTCAATTTATGATGGGATTATTAGGACATACCTTGTCGTAAGTTGAGAAAGAGCCGTGAATTAAAAGTTGAGTCTTAACATTCATATTTTAATTCAAGGATATCTCTAAAGACTTAGAAAAACTTGACCTTTAAAATACAAAATTTTATTGATCCTGCTTTTAATTTGGCTGTTTTTTTATCTCCAGGATGGATCTAGACTTGAATTTCTTATGTTTGTTATACAGAAAATTTTAAATGATCATTAATACATTTATTGATTTTTTATATATTGATTTAAAATTGTTCAATACATTCACTGATTTTTATGTGAGGTCACAATTATAGAAACAGCTAAAAGTTCTACTGCACTCTTTATTTTTAACTTTTTGTGTGTATGTGTTTAAACAAATTATTGGCTTTTTTTTTTTAAGTAAACTGTACCCCCAACATGGGGCTCAAACTCATGACCCCAAGATCAAGAGTCATGTGCTTTACTCACTGAGCCAGTCAGAGGCCCTCAGTTGTTAACGTTTTAGTTATTACCTTTAATAGTCACTGTCAGAGTTCGTTTAGTTAGAAAACTGAGAATCAGGGGCTCCTGGGTGGCTCAGTCACTTAAGCCTCCAACTCTTGATTTTGGCTCAAGTCATGATTTCATGGTCTGTGAGTGGTTTGAGTTCAGCAGTGCAGAGCCTGCTTGGGATTCTTTCTCCGCCTCTCTCTCTGCCCTTCCCCTCGTGTGCGCACGTGTGTTTGCTCTCTCTCAAAATAAATAAACTTAAAAAAAAATTTAAACTGAAAATCGAAGAAGCTTCAAAAGGAGGTACTCTTCCCTGACTTTCTCAGCTTAGGTTCAGAGCTGCCTCTTTATTCCACTGATGATGCTGTTGGAATTCCAGGGTTATAAGTCTTTGAATAGAATGTGTAAAATACTGTACTCCTTCCATTCTGTTAACACACTTTAAGTAAGAACATCTGATGTTCTTCAAAAGTCAGACAGAAATCATCCTTCAGAACAGCTAGAAACATGGGAACAAAACCTCTTGTTATGTCTCAGAGTATATATACTTTACATTAGAAAGGCCCTTCCCAGTCTCCTTGTTCTATATTACATGAGTCTAAAAAGTACTGGCTCTGTGTTTTACTTTTCTAACTTCAGTAGTTTAGGTTGAAGCAACCACACTGAAAGCGACAGCAGATGAGTTGTGACCGGCTGGAGGAGAGATAAGAAAAAATAATATAATAAAAGCAATCAAAGAAGTTGATTGCATTTGGACACTTAATCTTCTAGTCAATCCTAAAGACATTACTAAGTCAATGATTAAGAAACATTTAATTTACACTTAGAAAGACTGAGACATTAAAAATAGATTGGAAAGAATTTATGAGTTATGCTTATTAGTACATTTAACATTTTAATATTTAACATTGGTATTCTAATGAGTAAAAATGTGTTGTATCACATAACAAATTTGTATTAAATTAATAATACATGTAATACACAAGTAATCCACCTAGCATGGCACCTGGCTTGGTAAATGTTAGCTACTATTGTTTTTGTTATTGATATCTTTTTCTCTAGTTGTAGTCAATTCACCGTCACCTAAAATGTCCTTAGTTCTTTGCCTGTACAATTCTTGTAATAAGTGTGTGTTCTATTACTTGTATGGCATTTGTGTATTAACTTTATTTATCTCCATGGCTCTAGGGAACTAGAATTAGGTTTATTTATTTTGTTCTGTTTGTTGCCATGGTAAACAAAGGAGGCACCAACTGATACTACACAGCTGAAAGCAGCAAATGTCAATATGCTAGAGAAGTATAGTCCTGAGGCTGGGGGTTATACTTTTCATTAAGAGATAAACTCAATCAGTAGCCTTATTTTTTTTTAATTTTTTTTTTTACATTTATTTATTTTTGAGAGAGAGAGAGACAGAGCACGAGTGGGGGAGGGGCATAGAGAGAAGGAGACACAGAATCCAAAGCAGGCTCCAGGCTCCGAGCTGTCAGCACAGAGCCCAATGTGGGGCTCGAACTCACGAACTCATGAGATCATGACCTGAGCCGAAGTTGGACACTTAACCGACTGAGCCACCCAGCCTTATTTTAATATAAAATTCACATACCATAAAACTCACACTTTTAAAGTATACATTTCGAAGTTGGTTAGTATATTTACAAAGCCTTATCCTTTTAAGAAAACATTTTTTAAGTATTTTAATTATATTTCCTTTCTTAGCTGTAAATGTTTGCTTTTGCCCATGTGATTACTAAATACCTCTTGCCTTCTCTTAAATTCTTTTTTGGTTCAGGTTTAATGTCCTGTCTCTTTTAGGAAGGCTTTCTTGATTCTGTGCTGCCACAGGCTTTTTTTTTAGTCACTTTATAGCTTGTCACATCTATGTTCTAATTATCTCTTTAGTCACTTTTTCTTCCCTTTCAAACCATTTATCTCTCAGAGATAGAGACTGTTCTTGTTTTCCTTGCTATCTGCAGAAGCTAGAACAGTGTCTGATATGTAGGCTTTTCAGTACATATTTATTGAATGATTATAGCCACAGATAGTTCTGGCAGCCCCTAAGCCTTAACATATGCCAAGAACTTGATACTATTATTCAATGGTGAATATTAAAAGAATGTGCTTTTTGTTGCTGGGAATCATACCACTTTCGTGTTGCAAGGGACCAGTGTTCCCCTACCCAATGCATGCACACACACACACACACACTCACATGTACAGACAAAATAAATTGAAATCTGTTAGAGATTGAATGCCTTAGTGGTGAAATTGGGAATAAAAAGCCATGTTACCTCATTTTTTCCTGTACCACTCTATTTTCTCTTACATGTTACAGCCTGTTCTCATAATTTATAATTCATTTGTTTCCTAAGGTTTAGGTAAAAGACCTTGAAAATGTTAATTTAGTTCATAATATTTTTTCATAATTTTTTCTGTTTTTAACTATAGGTAAGGAACTGGCTGCCAACCAGAATACTAGAAATGAAATTTTAAATTAGTTTTAAACAATGACAGTATTTTTTATGTTTTATAGACCTCCGTGAGTGAAAGCCTTCAGAGGGAAGCTGCTAAGAAGCAAGCAATGAAACAGGTAAGGTGACTGAGTGAATTAAATGTGTTTGGTGAAGTATTTCAGCTCATGTTTTTTCTTAAGTATAAGTTCTGGTTATCTAGGTCTTGAGACTGAACATATATAAAGAAATAATTTTATGTAGGGGCACCTGGGTGGCTCAGTCGGTTAAGCATCCGACTTCAGCTCAGGTCATGATCTCACAGTTCGTGAGTTTGAGCCCCACGTCAGGGTTCTGTGCTGACAGCTCAGAGCCTGGAGCCTGCTTCGGATTGTGTCTCCCTCTCTCTGCCCCTCCCCTGCTCGTCGTGCTCTGTCTCTCTCTCTCTCTCTCAAAAATAAGTAAATGTTTAAAAAAAATTTTATCTTGACCCTTGTTTTCTGAAAATGTTTAGGATGTTTCTTGATTCATAATAGATTTCAGGTTTTTGTGATAAATCTTAAAGGCAAAGCACAGTGAAGAATTAGCTCTTCATTGCTGTGTTGTAGATTAAACCCATTTCTGCTTTCAGATGACTCAGTAGTCTTATAGTGGATTATGTGGTTTAATAATTCTTATTAATGAGCTTACTTGCTTAAAAAAAGTCTTTTCATGGGGCGCCTGGGTGGTGCAGTCGGTTAAGCGTCCGACTTCAGCCAGGTCACGATCTCGCAGTCCGTGAGTTCGAGCCCCGCGTCGGGCTCTG